TGGATTTGATGACCGAGTGTTACGAATTGCGCGTTAGAGTCATCGGGCCTGACCATCCTTACACTCAATCATCGTTGTCGAATCTCGAGCAGTGGCGAGAGCAGCTGTCTGACACGACCGAGTCACGGAAGACAGATTCTGACATCCAGGTTGATAGTGAGCCAGGCGCAGGGTAGCAAGAAACGAACAATCCGGGCAATGGCAATAAATACTATTTTCCCTCTTTATCTAAATCACATCTCTTAATCACGAAATTTCAAAAGGCGGAAGAATCCGGTCACATATCTACAGTCTCGGATCATGGAGGGAATGTGGAATGTGGGAATCTGAGTTGGAATTAATCAAGTGGAAGTCCACCCAACCTTCAGCAAATCCACCATATACTAGCTATCAAAGTACTTTGTTTTTTTTTCTTATTTTCTATAACGTATTACTTCAAATCTTGCTCGCTATCAGCATGACGAACCACGGCAAGCTTGCATCGATGTGGCGAAAAGCATATAAAGCTCAAAAAAATGTGTGAAAGATACTAGTGTGTCAAGTACTCCCTCCATTTTTACTCAGCTTCCTCACCCGCCTCCTCGTGCTCCTCTTCGTCCTCGTCGATAGTCGCGTCCTGGTACTGCTGGTACTCGGAGATGAGATCGTTCATGTTGGACTCAGCTTCCGTGAACTCCATCTCGTCCATACCCTCGCCGGTATACCAGTGCAAGAAGGCCTTGCGACGGAACATGGCGGTGAACTGCTCACCGACACGTCTGAAGATCTCCTGGATGGAGGTGGAATTACCGACGAAAGTGGACGACATGGATAGACCACGCGGGGGGATAGAGCAGAGCGCCGTCTGCACGTTGTTGGGGATCCATTCGACGAAGTATGAGGAGTTGCGTGATTGGACTTGGCGCATCTGGTCCTCGACTTCCTTCATGGCAACCTTGCCGCGGAAGATGGCTGAACAGGTCAGGTAGCGACCGTTGCGGAAGTCAGAACCGGTCATCATGTTCTTCGGGTCGAAGAGCTGCTGTGTTAGCTGGGGTACGGTGACGGCCCGGAAGGACTGGGCACCGCGGCTCGTCAATGGTGCGAAGCCGACCATGAAGAAGTGTAGACGAGGAAACGGCACCTGGAATGATATTAGTATTACGGCCCAATTTACGCGGCTCTGAATCAGACTCACCATGTTCACAGCCAATTTACGCAGATCCGAGTTGAGTTGACCGGGGAACCGGAGGGAAGTGGACACGCCGGACATGACGGCCGAAACGAGGTGATTCAGGTCTCCATACGAGGGGTTCGTGAGCTTCAACGTCCGTAGACATATGTCGTAGAGAGCTTCGTTGTCGATACAGAAGGTTGCATCCGAATTCTCAACCAACTGGTGGACTGATAGGGTAGCATTGTACGGCTCCACGACCGTGTCGGACACTTTCGGGGACGGGACGACACTGAATGTAGCCATCATTCGATCAGGGAATTCTGTTTTTTGAGACATGTTTGTTAGCAACTGTACCTTGTCCAGGCTTTCGAGGGACAATAGAGTAATAGACATGACAGCAGGTCTATCCCAGTTGACATACCTTCACGAATCTTGGAAATGAGCAGCGTGCCCATACCAGAACCGGTACCTCCACCGAGGGAGTGGGTAATCTGGAAACCCTGCAGACAGTCGCAACCTTCGGCCTCACGACGGACTACCTCAAGCACCTGGTCGACCAACTCGGCTCCTTCCGTATAATGGCCCTTGGCCCAGTTGTTGCCGGCACCCGACTGTCCGAAGACAAGGTTATCAGGGCGGAAGAGATCGCCGAAGGGTCCGGCGCGCACGGCATCCATTGTGCCCGGTTCCAAATCGACGAGGACCGCGCGTGGTACATATTTGTTCGAGGCGGCCTAACCTTAGGTGTCAATAGCCCAGAGACAGAGAGACATGCATACGGAAAGGCTGACCTCGTTGAAATAGACGTTGATACGGTCGAGCTGGAGCTCGGAAGTGCCGATATATCTAGACAACACGGTCAGGCGTGGGCTTTCGACCGTGGAGATGTTGGGAGGGGGACGCGGGGGGGTTGTCTTACTTGCCGTCATTTGCTAGGCCATGTTCGCCGGAGATGACCTGCCAAAAGGCACCGCCAATTTGGTTGCCCTGTCGCGATACTGGTGAGCAAGATGAGCTACAATCGAAAACAATGGCACGAGAGGGTATCGTAAGACACGTACACACTGGCCGGTCTGGAGATGCACCTGTTGAAAGAGTTAGCGAGAGGCTCGTATGTAAAAGACAGCAGCGCCATTCTTACGATTTCACGCATTTTCGTTGCTGTTCTGGAGTATCTAGGAGGAATGTACGGACGTAGTCGAGGCGGGTAGGTAGGTTATCAGTTGATGGGACAATATGACGAGGTTTCGAAAGAAAGGTCACGAATGTTGGTTAGGGGGAAATCGACGGCGGAAAGAATATAAAGCCGTTCACAGGCAAGCCACCTAAGTAACTAACCTACTTACTTAGATAGATACTATGTAGATACACTAGGCTAGGTACCATCGTATGTGTGGAGGCACCGCGTTAGTTAGCCAGGACAACATGATTAGATCGCTGCTTGGTACAAAATGGAATCCCCTTGCCGGACCCTGCCACACAGTGTGTAGCCGGCCTTCGAGGGGGAAGAAACCGGAAGGGCCATCGGAAAACGGTGATTGGGCGCCATCCAGCTTGATTCTGGGGTGACGATGGGACAAAAAAAGAAAATTTTACCCTAGACAAAAGCGGTGTCAACAGTAAACCTGGTGACCCGGTTGCATATTCCCCACCACGGTTCATTGACAGGTTTGAATGAGCAAATAGATAATGAAAAGCCCACTTGGTGGCCTGTGATTGGGATACTGTCCTGCCCTTTTGATTTCGTGGATGGGCATTGGGTTTGATAGGGATTGGTAGGGATTGATACAGTCCGTAGGCATTGTATTAATAGGACTTGAACAGTCGTCTGTGGTTGGATTGAGTCGTGGAGTCAGGAGTCGGATCGTGAGCTCTGATGTATTGATGCCGGATTCGCTCCACCTAACCTCATCATACATCGTACTATGTAGGTATTAGTTAGTGTACGTACAGTCCGTGACTTGTAAGTAAGTAGATACACAGCGTGTACCAGGCCCAAGCCGCCCGCCTACTAAGTAGACTACATAGTATTACTATGTAAACTTTGAAGTCACTATCTAACCTACCAACTAACACAGACATAGCTAACCCTGGTAGGTATACACTAACTATTCCCATTCAGTGAGAGTATGTCCCTTTGTTAGCAATGACTTCTCGGCCGAGCCGCGTATTAGCTATCTAGGTTAGTTTGCCTGAATCTGCTACCGCGGCACCGGATCCGATTTTACAGCGATGATGATCCTTTTCAAATTTCAGATTGAGCCAGAACGCTAGGTAGACAGGCGGTTGGATGAGTCGCGATACACCCCCCTCTCTAAGTATACTAATAAGTACATAGTAAAGGGGGTTAGCGTGGGTATGTACGTCCTCAAGTAGCTCGTTGTCGATACATAGGAGGGGTCAGTCTTCCAATGACGATGAAGCCACTGGGGAATGCGGATAGATAGATAGATAGATAGTTGTTCGGTAGATGTGATAAGGTACCTACACAATTACTAGATACATCACGATAACTAAACCAGATCTAACCCGTTTGTTGAGTGACAAATATGGGCCCTATAGCGGTTGTCGGTGCCAGACCGACGTGTGTTCTGACGGAGCGGTGATAGTAGGTATCTACACTAGGTACCTACTTAGACCTGAGCTTGCCTAATGTACACACGGCTCCGTGAACGACGTTGAATATCTCCGACAATGCACGATGATTCAAGGGAAGTCGCGAGCCGGATAGTGAAAGGACGGCGGTGAGAAAGAACGATGGTGCCCGGGCTCTCTCCGGCCCGCTTCGGCTCTCAACACGGAAGGTAGGCGCACTGACACCTACTTTACTCCGACTTCTGATGAATCTTGAGTGGTGTGCAGATTCCAGAAGGACTGTGTATACCTACCTGGCTAGTCGTAGCCCGTAGCCGCGATTAGCGAGCGTCGGAACTGTTGCGGACCGCGGTTTTTATCGACCTAAATAATGAGCGCCGTGCCGACTGCGTTCTATCTACTTAGATAGTGTACAGTGGGTCACAGAAAGTGACGCTCGATTTTTTCAAGCCGAATTCTGGGCTCGAATAAAAGCCACGATGGAGGCACGTAAAATGTAGATATGAGTTATAAAAAAGGATCTATGCAATTGCCGGTCATTGTTTAATGCACACCCAGTTTTCGAGAGTATTATATTGTCATTTGCACGCGCGGTGTTGATTCTGAAAGGTGGTCTTTTTTGCAACAAGTCCGAGCGAGCGTCACTTTCTGTGACCCACTGTAGGTACATACCTAGTAGTGTATCTAGGTACCTAGTGTACTAACCTTAACACCTCCTCGCCTAATCCCGCCTTCTACTACCTAGATAACTACGTAGTAGGTAGGTAGTGAGTTAGCGACCGACATGATGAATGAGTATCTAGATAGGTACCTATCCGATCCGAAGACCTTCGAAAGGGGTAGTGCGGTCGAATTATTGCTCAGAAACGGTGTCAAATGAATGCGACAGATTCTGTGGGCGTAACCCTGACGCACGCGCAAGCCTTGGAAAACCAAATGAATAGAAACGTTTTACATAGCGAATGGCATCCATATAGTGCCTCTGTAGATGGTGTACCTAATGTAGTATTTGCTATGCTAGAAGCATCATGCGGTCCGATCCAAAAGCAAACCGGAACAAACCCCGACAGGATGCAGAGATTCATTCCACTAATCGCTATCGTTCCCGGCGATCAAATCAAAGTCAAGGTTGTAACCAGGCTACATCGTAGATAATTTGTAGAACCTGGCAGGATACTTACCCAATGTCCCTCTGCTAGTTGTACATATACCATCATAGCCTCACTAACTTCCAACAACAACAACCAATGGGAGTTTGGCCGAGTGGTTAAGGCGTCGTGTTTAGGTCTTGTTAGGTTTCTACCTGGCAAACTTGAAGTCCCGCGATGGGAAACCGCGCAGGTTCGAATCCTGCAGCTCTCAATTTTTGATTCTTTTTTTTTTTTTATTTGTTTTTTTTAATCTCTTCTCATTTCTTGGGCTTCCGAACGTTGTGACTTGCATCATTGCATCCGTTCAGTCTAATTACGCACACAGGTAATATTACCTCCCTTGTTAACCTTGGCGGTTTCATGCAAACTTTTTCATGAGGAAGAGGGGAAATGACAACAAAGTTGGGCTTCAAAAGCGGGGTAGAGAAAGGGCAAAAGTTGATGCCATTCATGATAGCTTCTCCCTAAACCCCATATCCAATAGGCTTGACTAACGAATATCTTACAATGTATACGACGCAAGTACCTTGAAAAGAAACGGCAGAACAACCAACGGAAACCATGCATCGAATTGATTTAGTTTCTGTCGTGAAAGGTGGTATCGAATATTTACAACGTTATCTCATATACACCTCGTAAGCTCATACTTCTAGTAACGTTTCCGTTCTTTCCCTTTGGTAGTATGCCTCCACAGACAAATGACACTCTTGCTTTCGCACCATTGTTTCACGTCATACGGGGACACCTCCCCGTCGTATCCCGCGTGTGTTAACTTGCCGGCGTTCAACCAACTTGTGAGTTCCTCGATCACGATAGGATCGTAAAGAAGCATCTTCTCGTACCACGATGGCTTGGCCGGGTCTTTCGAATTCGGCGCTGAGGTCACAGCCTTGGTGATGTACCTAAACAGCTCAGCCTGATGATCACTGAGCGGTACCGCTAGAGACATGTCACCATCCTCTGTCATCGTAAGATCGAGCGGCGGAGGTGAACTGAACACTAGACTGGCCGATGATCCAGGTGATGGAGTAGCGTTCGCCGAGTCCAGAATTTCGGTGGAAGCAACTCTGGACTTTCTAGGACCTCCACGTGCCCTTTTAGATCTTGGGCCTGGGTCATCAGATTCGATGGATGTAGTGCTTCTAGTACGCCTACGCGATTTTTTAGGGTTCGGGGCTGCGTCCCAAGAATCGATAGAAGCAGTGCTTGACTTTCTACCACGCGACCTTCTACGCCTTGGACTTGGAGCCTCGGATTCGATAGAAGCGGTGCTGGACCTTCTAGTGCGCGTCCTTTTAGGGGTCAAAACTACAGCCTCATATTCGACAGAAACTGTGCTGGATTTTCTAGGGCGTCCGCGCGGCTTTTTAGGGCTCAAGTCTGGCACCTCGGGTTCGATGGAAGCCGTACTTGACCTTCTGGTACGCGTCCTTTTAGGAGTCAAAACTACAGCCTCATATTCGACAGAAACTGTGCTGGACTTTCTAGGGCGTCCGCGCGGCGTTTTAGGGCTCAAGTCTGGCACCTCGGGTTCGATGGAAGCCGTACTTGACCTTCTGGTACGCGTCCTTTTTGGGCTTGAAACTAGAGGCTCAGATTCGATGGAAGCCGTGCTGGATTTCCTGGGACGTCCACGTGACCTTTTTGGGCTCAAATCTGGTACCTCAGGTTCGATGGCAGCAACGGCTGACTTTTTAGGACGTCCTCGCGGTCTTTTGGGGGTTGGAACTTGGGCATCAGCTTCAACGGGAGCAGTGGCTGACTTTTTAGGACGCCCGCGCGGCTTTGGAGCGCTTGGGCCTGGGATACTAGATCCGATCATAGGATCGGGTTTCTCCTCGGTCTTCTTCCGGCGAACACGTGGCTGTTTTGGAATTGCTTTATCTGAGGTCGTCGATTGAGTGACTGAATTCTTTTCGGCCTCAGTTGTCCGGGTCCGAGCACGGCTTTTTGGTTTGGGAGCCGCTTGGTTAGTAGACCCACCAGAGGTCTCCTGCAGAGCTCGAGTAGCACTATACGTAGAAATAGATGAAGTCTGAATGACGCCCGCAGAGGCTCCCGGATTTTGACTTTTCCAGCACTGATCCAGCAATGCGATCATTGCGGAGCGCTTCTTTATTGGCTTGAAACCATATGACGTTAACTGCCCGCAGAGCTGCGCATCTGTGAACAATTCGTACTTGGGACGTGGTTCAACAGGTGTCGCACTTGCTGATTCTCCGGCCCCGGATGCGATATTTGATTCATGGTTCGACTTATGCGGTCGCGCAAATCGGGGATTCGTCGGCAGGGATTCGCCAGAGATGCACGCTGTTAATCCCACTGGAACAGGTGAGTCTAATAGATCGTCAATATCTACAAAACTTTGAGCATCTGGGGTAATGGTCAAATCGTTTCCTGTAGATTCAAACCCGACCCGAGAGTCAACGGAACTCAAACCCATTAACTTGCCGTTTTCATCACGAGCTCCAGCTTGCCATAATCGCCGACCTAAATCGTCATGGAATGGATCGGCGTCTCGGCGGTTAGACGCTCGTATTGCAATCTGGAGATCCTTCAGAGTCGTTGGTGACTGTTCCTCGATGAGTTGACTTGATGTCCCGAAGACAAAATCCTGGTTAGAAGACTGCTTGAGGGCAGAACTAGGAGAGAGCAATATAGGATGGTCTTGTGTGCCCGCTTTCTTCCTGCGTGTTGTCTTTGACGGTTGCTTGGTCGCTTTCCCCTTGGATGTCCTTTGAGTCATCATCATCGTCTGATGCTCAACTAATGCCTTGACCGCACCATCAGAGTCAAAGTATTTCAACATCGATTCTTCAGTATCAGGCCCTGCGAGGTTGAGTTCAGGTGAAATAGGTGCGGCGAAAGGAGCAGTAGCCAGTTCCGTGATCGTTCTCGTCTTCTTCCTCGGGGCAGGTACTTTAGCTTTTGCCCGCTCTGGCTGTGGTGGCCGCTGTAAGTCTTCTAATAATGGCGTCTCAACGGACTGTTCTTTCTCCTGCTTTTGGCCCGTAGATACGAACTCGATGAGTTTTCGCTTTCTAAAGACCTCGGACGCGCCTTGCAGGGGCAGACCTGGCGCGGGGTCTACCTCTTGTCGTCCAAATTCATCGTATAGTTTCTGGAATACATCCTTCGATACGGGTATCCGGTCGACCGACGAGAAGAGTTCTCGAGCGTCAGAATCGGAATCGAGAACAATGGGCTGCTTAGCTGCCGGCGGCGTCCAATCACCTCGACGAGGGATGGCGGTTTCTTGTTCTATGTTTGCGAGGACTCCGTCAACCTTATCCCTCGCGCCAGATACTCTGTCTAACCGCGTAGCATCTTCGACAAATGGATCCTCCTTTGTCTTGCCAAAGTGCCTGGACACGGTGTCGCTGACGTTTACGGATCGTTTCTTCGTAGCTGCAGGCTTCCGGTTTATTGGTAACGCGGGCTCATCATCTTGCGCCGAAGGCGGTTTCTTATATTTTTGCCACGGTTTATCAGTCGGTGATGAAGACTCGATCAAAATGGCTGCCTGGTTCGAGGCATCATAAGTGCGAAAATTCTCGGGTGTCGAAGCTTTTGGTTTACGCGTATTGGCTGGCTTGCCTCCACGTGACGGCGAGACTGTGATGTTCTCTGTGTCGATATCAATTTCAGGTGCTTCTCGCAGAATGCCGGCGGCACTAGTGAGTGTGGTTCGGTCGTCGACTGGTATTCGCGGTGCGGGATTTCCAGCTTTGAAGGGTGGCTTCTTAGGGCTGTTCTTCGGACTGATCTTTGCGCGTTTCTTTGCAAATATTTCCTCAAGTGATGGCAGATACGGCGAAGACGAAGATAAATTAGTCGCAGCGAAGGCTCGAGACCTAGGCGGGGACGACATTAATTCATCTAGGGCAGACATGGCCAGATGGGGGCGCAGAGAGATGGAAGCGCGCCAGGCGCAACCATTCATACGATCAAGCAGCAACTTGGCTTGATTTGAAAGAGGCCTTGGAAGTCTCAAAGCGTCCGTAGATGGAGTAAGGAGTCCTAAGAATCGTCGACCAAAGATGATGTTAGATGGAAGTAAACAACAACAACATTGAGCCATCCATCCCTTCCCAATAACAAAGGGCGGAGCAGAGACGGACTAATCGCGAAACTAGCCCGTAATCACGTGGCTTTGTCACGTGACCTTAGCCGAGCACACAGTACGGAGGTACGACCCCACCAGAACCATCCATCCCACTATCTACTGGGTCAAAATTGCACAAATTCCTTTGCGACAACACCATCACGATTCACCATCAATTCCGATCTTCCCACCCGTCAACTCAACACAACCGCCAAAATGGAGAACGACCGCGGAGAACTCGTCGATCTTTACGTGCCAGTATGAAGCAATTCATTATCTTTATTAGTTCCGGCCCAGATGGAATGCTGACGGTAGGGCCCTATAGCGAAAGTGCAGCGCGACCGGTCGCCGTAAGTTTTTTCCATCTACTCCCGTATTGCGTTGGATCTTTGAAGCCTGTTTTGCGCTTGTGACTAGGCCTCTGTCGACTAATGCTATCTGCGATAGTGATCAAGGCCACCGACCACGCCAGTGTCCAGATCAGCGTTGGTCTCCGAATTCCACCGAAGCCCGACAGAATACTAACCCAGTCGTAAAGGTCGCCAAGCTCGATGAAAGCGGAAGACAGATCCCCGGCGAGAACCATGTGTATGTGCCCTCGGAGTCCGACGTCGCCCCGTCCAATCGCTTCTTAACTGACACGAATAAAGCTACGCTCTCAGCGGATTCGTACGCGCTATGGTAATTCTCCCCTGAGGATACTGTGTTTGGTATGCCGCGTGCCAAGCTAACCGTAATAGGGTGAGGGTGACGATGCCTTCAACCGTGTTACCCAGAAGGATGGTCTCCTTAAGAACGTTTGGAGCCCCAACCGATAGAGGATTTTCTTGTTGGTATGCCACACTGCTGAAGGACGGTCACAGACGATCGCTAACTATTGACAAAGGGAACGGCGTTCATGGGGAATTCGTGGTCAGGTCAACATGGCAAGACACTTGATATTTGCAGCGTAACCGATAAAGAAACACGGCCGTCCTAATACGACTCCGAATACGAAGACAATACCATCACGTCATGCCCAAGACCCAATACTCGAACTCTGTGTCCTCCTTGGTGGTGACGAATCCCCTTTCCCGGCTGGCCAAGTCTTCTCGCATCCACTTCCG